TCCCCTTATCCTTTCTGGATTTATATCCATGGATGAGACCCCCTTATCCTTTCTGGATTTATATCCATGGATAACACCCCCTTATCCTTTCTGGATTGATATCCATGGATAAGACCCAGTTTCTGGATTGATATCCATGGATAACTCCCCCTTATCCTTTCTGGATTGATATCCATGGATAATTCCCCTTATCCTTTCTGGATTGATATCCATGGATAATTCCCTTTAGGAATGGGAAGAGCTGGAAGCTTGTCAGGGAGAATCCAGATCCCATCCGGTGCCTGCTGGACGATGTTCCCATGAAATCCCACCCTGACCAGGAATTTTGGGAGGCCTTGGGATCTTGGAATCTGGACCTGGAAGCCTGGAGGAGGTGCTGGGCTCCCGTTCTAAGAGAAGCTTCTGGGCAGGAGCTGAAAGGAGCCTCCAAAACTCCTCCTGTCCATGATTCCCCCCTGGCTGGAGCGGGGAGGGTCTGGATCCCAGATTTCCCGGGAATTGCTGGGGCTGGGAGCAGAGGGGGTGGATGGGGCAGGGAACACTTACGAGGGAGCTGCTGGGGTCTCTCTGGAGGGAAGAAATCTCCTTTGGGAAAGGCTCGTTCGTCCTAAACACAAACCAGCACATCAAAGTTGGAAAGAGGGGCAGGAAAATCTGCCTTGGTATTTAAATTTATAAATGAAACCAAAGGAATTTAAAGTTCAGGAAACCCTCCCTGGAATTTTTTAATTGTAATAATAAATTAATTCGTTTAATTACTGGATTTTAGAGTTAATATTTTTAAATGTGTTTATATTTAATAAATATAATTTAATAAATTAATTTGAACTAATACAATTAAACAATTAATTGTAACAATGAATTAATTAATTACTGAATTTAATATTTTAAAATATATTTATATTTAATTAATATAATTTAATAAATTAATTTAATTAATACAATTAAACATTTAATTGTAAGTATAAAATAATTAATCACTGAATTTAATATTTAATATTCTTAAATGTATTTATATTTAATAAATATAATTTCATAAATTAATTTGAACTAAAATTAAATAATTAATTGTAACAATAAACAAATTACTGGCTTTAATATTTAATATTTTTAAATATATTTACATTTAATAAATATAATTCAAGAAATTAATTTGATTTAATACAATTAGTTGTAACAAGAAATTAATTAGTTAATGGATTTAATATTTTAAAATATACTTACCTTTAATAAATATAATTAATATTTCATAATAATTATTAATTATAGTAATTATAATTAATAATTGTTAACGTTAATTAATAAGTTAATTGTGACAATAAATTAATTACTGGATTCAATATTTAATATTTAAAAATATATTTACATTTAATAAACAGAATTTAGTAAATAATTCAATTAATCCAGTGAAACAATTGTAACAATAAATCAGAATCCATCGGGCAAACCCCCCTGGATTTTGATCCAACCTTGAATCCAAACACCCCCCCCGAGCAGGAGCGGAATTCCCAGCTGGAAAAGCGGGCAGGAGGGGCCCGGACTCACCATTTTCACGTGCATGGGTCTGTCAAAGAGCAGCTGCCCGTTGAACATGGCTGGGGGTTGTTAAGGATCACTGGTCAAACCTCAAAACTCCCCCCAGAAATCCACCTCTGGCGAGTTCCACAGCCCAGAGCAGCCAAAAGGTGCCTTTCTCCACACCTAAAAAACCTTGGAAATCCAAATGTGTGGAGTTTGAGCATTCAAAGGGCTTTTTGCAGTTAAAAAATGAGTTAAAAATCAGCCAAAATTTTGCTTTCTCCAAACCTGAAAACCCTTGGAAATCCAAATGTGTGGAGTTTGGATATTCAAAGGGCTTTTTGCAGTTAAAACATGAGTTAAAAATCAGCCAAAATTTTGTTTTCTCCACACCTAAAAACCCTTAGAAATCCAAATGTGTGGAGTTTGGATATCCAAAGGGCTTTTTGCAGTTTAAAAATGAAGTTAAAAATCAGCCCAAATCCTGCCTTCTTTAGACCTAAAAACCTTTGAAATCCAAATGTGAGTTTGAACATTCAAAGGGCTTTTTGCAGTTAAAAATTCAGTTTAAAATTCAGCCCAAATCCTGCATTCTCCAAACCTAAAAACCCTTTGAAATCCAAATGTGTTGAGTTTGGATATTCAAAGGGCTTTTTGCAGTTAAAAAATGAGTTAAAAATTCAGCCCAAATCCTGCCTTCTCTAGACCTAAAAACCTTTGAAATCCAAATGTGAGTTTGAACATTCAAAGGGCTTTTTGCAGTTAAAAANATTCAAAGGGCTTTTTGCAGTTAAAAAATGAGTTAAAAATTCAGCCCAAATCCTGCCTTCTCTAGACCTAAAAACCTTTGAAATCCAAATGTGAGTTTGAACATTCAAAGGGCTTTTTGCAGTTAAAAATTCAGTTTAAAATTCAGCCAAAATCCTGCATTCTCCAAACCTAAAAAACCTCTGAAATCCAAATGTGAGTTTCAATATTCAAAGGGCTTTTTGCAGTTAAAAATTAATTAAAAATTCATCCCAAATCCTGCATTCTCCAAACCTAAAACCCCTTTGAAATCCAAATGTGAGTTTGAATATTCAAAGGGCTTTCTCCAACTAAAAAATGAGTTAAAAATTCAGCCAAAATTTTGCTTTCTCCAAACCTGAAAACCCTTTGAAATCCAAATGTGTGGAGTTTGAGCATTCAAAGGGCTTTTTGCAGTTAAAACATGAGTTAAAAATCAGCCCAAATCCTGCCTTCTCCAAACCTAAAACCCCTTTGAAATCCAAATGTGTTGAGTTTGAATATCCAAAGGGCTTTCTCCAATTAAAAACTAAGGTGAAGTTCATTAAATGTGACTCCAAACAAGTGGCTCCTCAGGAACTTTGTCCACTTAAAACAGGGGGAAAAAAACAGGGGAAAACAAGGAAAAATTCTCCTTATTTCCAAACCAAGCCCCCCATTCCGAAGAGGGAACCACTTGGTCAAGTCTTGCTCCCAACAAGGAGGGAATTAACATTCCAAGAGAAACTCCAGGAGGGGAAAGGGGGGAATATTTCCCTCCTTTCCACGGCAGGGAGGTCACACACAGAGGGAAATATCTGGCATTTGATTGTGGGTTGGGATTTTGGGAGGTTTTGAGGTGGCAAATCGTTGCTTGGGCGGTGGAAGGACACAGGGAAGGGAGGGACACACCTGGATCAAACCCATGGACAACATGGATCAACATTCCCCAAGGGAACCGATCTGTGGGGACGTGGATTTGTTCCACTCATCCTTTACCTCCAGCACGGGAATTCCAGGCAAGTCTTCCCTCAGGATTCTATTTTAATACACATATTTCCACATGGAAATCTGTGGAATTTTCCATGTGGAAATCCTTTGCTGATGATCCTCAGTGACAATTCCTTCAGGATGGAATTATTTCCTGCTTTCCTCACGTTTTCCGCCTGCCCCGACTTGACTTCCCCCAACATGGCAACCCCCCCAGCTGTCCCACACCCCGTGTTCCCACCCTGCTCTGTTTGCTGAGGGCTTTGCCCCCGGTTTTCCAGGTTTTCCCAAGGATACAGATGGCCTGCACGGCCTCCATGGCCATGGACAACATGGATCAAGCCCATGCAGAACAAATCCGTGGGTACATGGATTTGTTCCACTCATCCTTTACCTCCAGCACGGGAATTCCAGGCAAATCTTCCCTCAGGATTCTACTTAAATACACATATTTCCACGTGGAAATCTGTGGAATTTTCCACGTGGAAATCCTTTACTGATGATCCTGAGAAACAATCCCTTCAGGATGGAATTATTTCCTGCTTTCCTCACGTTTTCCACCCGCCCCAACTTGACTTCCCCCAACATGGCAACCCCCCCAGCTGTCCCACACCCCGTGTTTCCACCCTGCTCTGTTTGCTGAGGGCTTTGCCCCCGGTTTTCCAGGTTTTCCCAAGGATACAGATGGCCTGCACGGCCTCCATGGCCATGGACAACATGGATCAAGCCCATGGAGAACATTCCCCAAGGGAACCAATCTGTGGGGACGTGGATTTGTTCCACTCATCCTTTACCTCCAGCACGGGAATTCCAGGCAAGTCTTCCCTCAGGATTCTATTTAATACACATATTTCCACATGGAAATCTGTGGAATTTTCCATGTGGAAATCCTTTGCTGATGATCCTGAGAAACAATCCCTTCAGGATGGATTTCCTGCTTTCCTCACGTTTTCCACCCGCCCCGACTTGACTTCCCCCAACATGGCAACCCCCCCAGCTGTCCCACACCCCGTGTTTCCACCCTGCTCTGTTTGCTGAGGGCTTTGCCCCGGTTTTCCAGGTTTTCCCAAGGACACAGATGGCCTGCACGGCCTCCATGGCCATGGACAACATGGATCAAGCCCATGGAGAACATTCCCCAAGGGAACCAATCTGTGGGGATGTGGATTTGTTCCACTCATCCTTTACCTCCAGCACGGGAATTCCAGGCAAATCTTCCCTCAGGATT